CAAGCCCAAGGCCACGCCCAAGGGCAAGGCCAAGGGCAAGGCCAAGGCCAAGCCGAAGGGCAAGGCCAAGGCCAAATGTGCGATGAGCAGCGCCGACGGCACCTCGGGGAATCCAAGCATCCACCAGCGCCGCTCCTGACTGGGCCAACTCTGAGCCCAGGATTGGTGGATGCGCCGCCTTCTTGGCAGAGCCAGATCGCGTCCATCGATCTTGGGCGCAGGATTGGCCTAGCCACAATCGGCGTCGGTGGACACCTGGAGCCCCTGAAGGCGACGCGCAGTCGGCGGCTGACGGCAGCGGCAACTCGGGAGCGCCAAGTATCGACCAGCTACGACCCTGGCTGAGCCAGTCCATGGCCCAGGATTGGTGCATGCATCCCCTGGCTTGACAAAAGGTTGAATTCACAAATCCTGGACCTTGGCGTGGCCTGGCCAATATCGGCGCAGCGCCGCGTTTGGCGTCCCCGGAGGCGACGTGGCCAGCAAGAAGCGCGCGGCCGAGGCCGACGCCGAGGGCGACACGGCTGGCGCTGAGGCCGCGCCCGCGAGGTGGTGTGGGCGTAAAAGGTTGGAATGGGCACCATGCGTCGGCGGCGCGCGAATGGGGTGGCGCGAGGGGGGCGCATCAAAACCAACACGTCTCAAAAACAAATCTGCTTCCAACCGCGCTGTCTGATGCGCCCCCCGTGCGTCATCCCCCTTCGCGCGCTTCTGGCCGCAGCGGGCACTGATCCCGAAACCAGTTGAATGCTTGCCCTCGCCCTCACTCTCGTCGCCCTCCTCCTCCGCAGCAGCAACGACAACCTTCTGCTCGTCGCCTCTTCCACCTGCTCCTCTTGGGACAACCACCCTTCCCCGCTTCTCCTCCGCCTCGCCCGACCACCCCCACCCCCGCGCCCTCGACCTGCAGCGATGCCGCAACTGGAGAGGATGCGCCCTGGCCCAGGGGAGGGCCATTGCGTCGAAGGCCCAATCGAAACGTGCACCGACTCCGATTTCCTTTCAGACAGGCAGGGGGACAACGCTCGGAGTGGCTTGTTAAGGGTGCGTTTGATGTTGCCTAGTCCCCGTCAATTGCGGATATGAGTGAGGGGGCGCCCGGGCGCGCGCGGGCGGGTCGAATGGGTCGTAGGTCGCGAGGCGGGTCACGAGGGGGCCCACTTCAGCCGCGCACTCGGCGCGGGACCGCTCGGCTAACCCACTCTGTGTTTTATTCGCCCGAGGCCGAAGCCCGCCAAGAGGCCCCTCATCGATCCGAAGGTGTTCAACGAGAGGCACAAGGATGTCTTGGCCATCCTCCCGGAGGCGGCGCAGCCTCCTGACACCCCTCACGGGGAACTCTCCTACACCTGCAAGTGGAACTACGCCCCCGACAAGACCCCGCTCACTTTGGAGGTCCACATGGCGAAAGGCTTCGTGCGTGTTGTCAAGCCCGTCATGGGCACAGGCTTTGCACAGTTCGGTTTTTCTGCGTACGAGAGCGCTGACAAAGCCTGGGAGGCTGCTGTCAAGGCTGCCATTTTGAAAGCCGCGTCCGGCGAATGAGATTTCTTTAGCTAGATGTCAGCCCACTCCTATGGGAAGAGCGCCTGCCAATGTCATTCACTGGTCGAGGGCACAGTTTAATCTCTGTGGTGTACCGTTTGATGTGACATCGTCTTGCTGGGTAGCCAAGTTCGCAGATTTGGCGGGCGCACGAGTGCTGAATCGACATCTGCCCTTACTTCTTAGCGCCTCTCACTAGGAGTATTCATGCGTCTTGGTTGGACACAATGGACAACTATAACGTTTGAGAAAGCATGTGTGTATATATAGTCTGTTTTCGCAATTTGACGGGCGATGGACATGGCATAGCAGTGCATGGCCATGCATAGCAACGCATAGCAAATCACACAGTACAGCATAACAAAGCATAACAAAGCATAACAAAGCATATCAAACCATAAAGGACCATATTAAACCATATCGTAGAAATCGTGCTCAACATGCCACATAGACAGCACCATCGCAACGGGTAACGCATCTCATGACATGACATTAACATCACCAGTTAGGTCTTCAGTGCACGTGCAGGGGTCCTAAGCCGTCTGTATGGGCGCGGCGACAATCAATCGCGCTTCGCACGTCGCGGCGTGGGCCAAGAACAAGTGTCGTTTCCAGAGGGGGAGAGCGCGAAAACGCAAAGGCGCGAAGATAACGTCGCACATCGAGGAGCGCGAACCGCGAAGCTTGGTGACCTAGGGGCCCAAGAGGGGCTGCATTCGCTATCCTGAGCCCATTCGTGCGCAAGCCAAGCCCGAGTGAACCCCATCCCAATTACATCGATCCATGTCCTCTGACTCAGACGCGGCCAGCGATGATGCCTTGAGCTGCTCCGCTGGCCCCATGCTCGTCGACTCTAGTCCCAGCCGGAGTCGGAGCCGGAGTCCCAGGCGCAAGCCAGACCAGCAGCCAGAGCATGCAGGAGTTAAACTGCGGAGAACGAGGAGAATGATGAGCAGCATGAGGAGGTGGAGGAGCACGAGAGGAAGAGGAAGAGCCGGAGAAGGAGGAGGAGTCGGAGGATGAGGAGTCGGAGGAGGAGGAGGAGGAGGAGGAGGAGGAGGAGGAGGAGGGGAGGCAACGCTGTATGCGGGGAGGCTGGTAGCACGGGCAAATGGGAAGTGGGCCCAGGATACACATATATATAGAGAAAGAGAGAGAGAGAGAGAGAGAGAGAGAGAGAGAGAGAGAGAGAGAGAGAGAGAGAGAAACAAAAAAAAAAAAAGAGAAGGAAAACGAGAGAGGAATGACCGCAAAGAAGGATGAGAGGAGGAGGTGGCAATTTATGTTTTCAATCGGCGGTGAATGCCACCCACCGCCCTAGGACCCGTCAGACGCATGATCCCCATGAAATTGCTTAACGTGATCTCTACCCTTGTGCGGATGGCTGGCCCGTTGCCCGGGTACTCAGTGCAATCGGTTGAGTTGTTCGCGGGCTGCCACTCTGTCTCAAACGCCATCAAGAGCCACGACCTGCCAGCCGCGTCGCTGGATTTCGCCACAGTCAGGACGCTTCTTGCTTTTTTTTGTTCGCAAGGGTGGGAAGTCTGCCGAGTGACGTGCCAGAGCGAACCATAAGAAACCATAACAAACCATAAGAAACCATAAGAAACCATAATGGACCATAATGGACCATATCCTGTTATATTAACGACACAATGCGCCTCTGTATCTCTATAGAACATGCTCCGAAGCAACATGGACGACATGTGCAACACTGACGGTTTTTGCAGGGCGTTGACATACGTGCTTGGGTTGAGGCCTCAAGGCCTGATATGGGCGGCGCCGCCCTGCAGCTCGTGGGTGTGGATCGGTCGCTATCAGACAGGCAGAAGTCAATCTAGGCCACTAGGGGATGAGTCGGTGGATTTCGTCAAAAAAGCGAACGTCTCAACTAGCAGAATTTGTTTGCTGATCGCCCTGGGCATTGCGATGCGAGGCTGTATTTTTATGGCCGAGCAGCCTGCCAGCTCGATTTTTGAACTCCATCCTCGGTGGCAGCAACTTGTCGCCGCTTTGGGCGATAACATGCACAAGATCTCAATGTGGATGCAACCTTACGGGGGTAGCTCCCGAAAGCCCACCGTGCTATACTCTAATTCATCAGCGCTGCAGCTGTTGTGGCAACCTCTTGACACGAGCAAGCCATCTGAAGTTCGAACGTTTACGAGTGAAGTCGTCAACGGGAAGAGATGTGTTCACGGCACTGGCTCTTTAAAAGGCACCCAAGCATACCCAGAAGGTTTCGGAGCTGCGGTTGCCAATGTGTACCTGAACGAGTGCGCGCAGAATCCTACGCCTGCGTGTGCATCCCCTTTTGATTTGCTGGCCGACGCCAGCGACGACCCGTGGGACGATGCTAATCTAGACGAAGTGTTGCAGTCGCTCCGCGCAACTGTGAGCTCGAGCTCGCAGGGTAGTTAAGTGCGTGGACTGCAAGCACCATACACAAATAAAGATGAAGGGGGAGCGGGAGATGAGGAGGGAGAGGGAGATGGGTAATGATAGACATAGAGAGAGAGGGAGAGAGAGGGAGCGATATATACTGAGGGAAAGGGTGCATGCCACTCTGGAGATCAAGCGTTTTGACCTTGTCGCAAGTGCGCGTTTCAGCCGTGCTTGTTTTGCATCTGTGCGCTGCAGCCAGCTGCTCACTTTCGCATCTGTGCATTCGTCTGGAGTGCCGAGGCGGGAGCGAATCCATATTTGCATCCTCATCCATCTATCCCTGCACTGCCCTGGTGTCAAATCCAGCATAAAGGCAGCATAAACAGCACCGTAAATAGCATAAAGAACCCCATAAACAGCATAAATACGAGCATAAATGCCATAACGAGCATATGAAACCATATGGAACCGTAAGCAACCGTAAAGAACCATAAAAATGATTCACGTCAGACCATAAAGAACCGTAAGAGACCATAAAGAACCGTAAAGGACCATAAAGAACCGTAAAGGACCATAAAGAACCGTAAAGGACCATAAAGAACCGTAAAAGACCGTAAGGTTCCGTAAAAGAGCCCTAATGTTCCGTACGGGACCGTAAGGTTCCGTAAGGGACCGTAAGGTTCCGTAAGGGACCGTAAGGTTCCGTACGGGACCGCAAGGTTCCGTAAGGGACCGCAAGGTTCCGTAAAGGACTGCAAGGCCGCAGGGGCCCGCAAAAGGGCCGTAGGGGCCCGTAAAGGGTCGCAAATACCCATAAAAGGGTCGCAGAGGCCCATAAAGGGTCGCAAGGGCCCATACAGGGTCGCAAAGGCCCATAAAGGGTCGCAAGTGCCCATAAAGGGTCGCAATGGCCCGTAAGGGCCCGTGCAGTCTGAGTGGGTGCGGTCATGATGAACAAGCAGCGCCACTCGCAGCCGTTCAGGCCCTGGCATTTGAGGAGCAGTCCAACTGGCAACACTGCGTATCGACCCAGTCTTTGAAGTTTAGTCTTGGCGCCGCGTTTCGCCGCAATGATGGGCGGCAAGGGTGTTGTCAACAGTGGCCAGGTTCACTTCCTCCGAGATCGCAACGGGCGGTGCATGACAGACTACAACGGCAAGATCATCCTAGTCCGCAAGCCCGGGGTCAAGAGCGAGGTCAAGAGCGAGGCCAACGGCAAGGGCGATGGCAGCGGAGCAAGCAGCAGCGCTGGCGCCAACGTCCAGCCGCAGCGGCGTGGCCCCATGGATGTTAGCCAGGCCCTGCAGAAACCAAAGGAGGAGCTCATGCCCAAGGCTCGGCACGGCGACACGCCTGATGAGCATCCGGCTGGCGCGAAGCGGAGGAGGATTGCTGGCAAGACGCACGACCAGCATGGCGCCTACTGTGACGTCGCAGTTTCAACGCCAAGCCCAGCGCGCCCCTCGCCGACCTCGACTCCGGAGAAGCTCGTTCCCCGCCCTCGGCCTTCGTCGACCCAGCTCGGCAAGGGCATCGAGAAAGTCATGGTGTGCGCTGGGAACGCACTGGTCGCGGCGGCCGCTCCCCCAGCGCCGACGCAGGCGGTGGCGGCCGCTGCCGCAGCTCCACCAGCGCAGCAGGCAGCGACGCAGATGCAGATGGCGACGGCCGCTCCAGCAGCTCCACCAACGCAGGCAGCGACGCAGATGCAGATGGCGACAGTCGCTCCAGCAGCTCCACCAGCGCAGCAGGCAGCGACGCAGATGGCGGCGGCCGCTCCAGCAACTCCACCAGTGCAGCAGGCAGCGACGCAGATGGTGGTGGCCGCTCCAGCAGCTCCACCAGTGCAGCAGGCAGCGACGCAGGCGGCGCAGCCCTTCCAGGTCCCGCGGCAAGCTGATGGATCGATTGACCCTCGTGACTTGGAGATCGCTGTCAAGTCGGCCGTGAAGAGCCTCACCGACCAGGAGCACATGGCGCTCTGGAACAGAATGACCAGGAAGACGACCAGTCGCGAGTGCCCCCCGCTCCTCAAGGAGAAGTGGGGCGCTGCCTGCAAGATGGACCGACAGGGCAAACTTGGGAGCAGGGGGATATGTGCTGATTTGTTTCCAACACCTGCTTGCCCTCTGGATCCAGGTTAACAGGTCACATCACGTCATAAGTTATTGTGACACCGTTGTTTTACTCATTCCAGGGCTGCGAGTCAAACTAGACGGAACCATATCGAACCATAACAAACCATAACAAACCATAACAAACCATAAAAAAACCATCACAAACCATATGCAAACATATTTCTACGACCGTCGAAAGGTCATGCCCTTCACCCTGTCTTGGTTGTGCCCCTGAGGGGCGCAGCGCCAAGACCCCCATCTTCGAGCTCTTTCTCGCCTGCGGGGGCGACGTTGGCAAGATGACCGCAGTGGAAGAGATCACCCTCACCAATACCGACGCCGAGGACACCGTGTGGGCCTGGTTCACGAGAGACGACCTGATGAAACACTACTATGGCAAGACGCTCATCGTGGACGATCTCATCAGCCGCAAGAAGACGGACCGAGGAGGAGGAGGAGGAGGAGGAGGAAAAAGATGAGGACGAATAGGATGAGGAAGTTGTTTCGGCAACATGTATACATACAAGAAGGAGAACAAGGAGAGTAGAGTAACTTGTCAAACGCACAAGTAGGAAGAGGAGGGAGGAATATGAGGAATATTAGGATAAGGAAGAGTAGGATGAGGAGGAGGAGGATGAGGAGGAGGAGGAAGAGGATAATGTTAGCAGCTAGGTGGCCATGTGAACCCTGCGTCCACCCCCCACGCCTTCTCAGGGGAGGTGGGGTTTCGCTTCGCCCGGGAAGTCCAACATGGGCCCCCCACCTCCCCTAAGAGTTCGTTGAGGGTCGGGCGTAGGGCTCACATGTGGACGCCGAAACGGGGGACAACTGCCTGATATCGCCAGGAGCCCCACTTCTGCCGCGAACACCCAGACCACCCAGGAAAGGTCGAGATGGAGCAGTGCCGTTTTAAGAGAGGAGGGTTTAATTATGTTCTCAGACTGCCCCACCCTCTCCCCGAGCCAATTGGATCAATGACCCTCCGAGGTACAAGTGCTACCAGATGTCTACTAACACTATCGGCACGGCGCGTGTCACCAAAAGAACGTTGCATTGGTCAGGGCAGCTCACGGGCAACACGGCCCTCGACGTGGCCAGAAACATCGAGGCCGCACCCTCCCTTTTCGTCCTCCTCCCTTTCCTCATCCTCCTCCTCCTCCTCTCCCTCCTCCTCCTCCTCCTCCTCCTCGCAGACACTCCTCCTCTTCCTCCTCCCTCCTCCTCGTTCCCTCCTCCTTCGATCGAGGCGATCATGGCACCAGATCGTGACTTGCATATTCGTGAACCGGTCGGTGGTAAAAGCGGCGGCAGGGGCAACCGGGCGAAAGCCAGCGCAGGCAAGGTCAAAAAGCCCCCCTCGAATGCCAAAGAGCTGGTGCAGGCCTACGTTCAGTACGTCAATGCTTGGGTCACCCGCGTGATGTTTCCAAAAAGGGATGTGGGTGGGGGAGGGGCAGGACCAGGACCAGGACCAGGAACAGGAGCAGGAAGACGACGTCGAGACCGACGACGAGCAGAGGACACCGGAGGGCAGGAGGAGGAGGAGGGCTGCTGAGCGGAGGAGGGCGGAGGAGGGCTTCTGAGCGGACGGGGGTGCCCCCCAGTCGACCATCATCACTGACGTGAAGGGCAAGATGGTGAATCCGAAATTCAATTGGGCGACTGAGTTTAAGAAAATGCTCGAGGAGGATCATGCCAAATTCCAGAATTTTTTGACACAATCGAAGGACCCGGGTGCAACAACTTGGATCACGCATTTATGTGAGGCAACTCCATTATCCTCCTCCTCCTTCTCCTCCTCCTCCTCCTCCTGCTGCTGCTCCTCATCCTCCGAATATTCCTCCTCCTCCTCCTCCTCCTCCTCCTCCATCTCCTCCTCCTCCCCCCCATCTTGGTTACTGTTATTGTCCTTTACTCGACTGTCCGTTCAGGGGGCTCGAAGATAACCTGAAACTTTACGATATAGGCTTGCCTCCCTCCCCCTTGAGGAGCCGAACCAAGAGATCGCGGAGACGCTGAGTGAGGTGACCGAGCACGCGCGCCGTGCCACAGACAACATCGCGACGGCCGACAGCATGGCGGGCGGCAAGAAGAGGAGCCACAAAGGGAGAGGACGACGATGAGGAGGAGGAGGCAGATGATGATGATAAGATGGATGAGCATAACAAAGCATAACAAAGCATATCAAACCATAAAGGACCATATTAAACCATATCGCTGCACACGCGCTCAACATGTCATTGGACAACACCTCCCAGGGAACTGACTTCAAGGTGCAGCGGGGGTCCTATAGGCCCCCTCCCAGGGGCGAGAAGATAATCGCACTTCGCGCGTCGCGGTCTGGGCCAAGTAAGGCACTTTTTCCTTAAGTAAGCGGCGCGAAGATAACCGTTCGTTTCGCATCGCGGGGCGCGATGCGAGAACTTGGGCCCTGGCAGGGCCTCGGGAATGCACGACGATAACTGCGCTTCCAGCATCGGGGGTGTGCGAAACGCTGAAGTTAGATTTAAGAGTGTTTTCTGAAAAAAACAAAACAAAGGTTCACACCTACATATTCCGCCGTCCTTGGCCTGGGCCATCCTGGGCTGCCTGGGCTGAGCACCTCGTTGATCGAGGCTGCTAGGTCTATGCCAAGCCCAGGGGGGCTCCTGCTGGGGACGGCGGGGGGGGCGTGGCCGCCGCTTCCGAATCTTTGCCCTGAGGAAGCTCCCCGTGGTGCCGCAAAACATCGTGGCCGAACTGACTCTCGCCGGCGCCGCGGGTGCTGTGACCGAGACCGAGAAGGCCGGTGCTGTGACCGAGAACGCCGGTGCCGTGACCGAGAAGGCGGGTGCTGTGACCGAGAAGGCGGGTGCTGTGACCGAGAACCCCATGACCGAGAAGGCCAGCGCTGTGACCGAGAACCTTGGCGGGGCGGAGGCGATGGCGGCAGCGGCCTGACGGACTGACTGACGACTGTCGCCTGATCGACCTCTCTTTTTCCCCTCCCGACCTCGAAGAGGGAGCGGTGAACGAAGGAGGAGGAGGAAGAGGAGGATGAGCACCAGGATCAGGGGGACGAGCTCGGCCCAGTAGCGACGCGGTGGACAAGGAGGACGAGAAGGAAGAGTAGGAGGAGGAGGATGAGAGGAAGAGGAGGCGGAGGAGGAAGAGGAGGAGGGAAGACGAGGAGGAGGAGGAGGAGGAGGAAGAGGAAAAAATAATAATAAGAAAAATAATAAGAATAATAATAATAAGAAAGATGAGGAGGCGGCTGAAGCTGGAAATTGAGTACTTCGGAGGCGGCAGGCAGTGACCCTGCACGCGGGCAATGTCCACAACTTTTAAGTTGTGCGTTCTAGCGTCGGCTCGGCCGACGCGATTTCACCTGGGGTTTTTTCCTCGACTGCGAAGCTGGTGCTTCCACGGAAAAGGTCACTCGCTCAGCGGGTCTGTGACTTGATCAGTACGCCTTGAATCCGCCCTCTGCTGCAGCATTTTGGCGCATCAGGGCTGGGGGAGCTCGATGTTTAGGGCCCTTCGCGCGGAGCGCGCCGGAAGACTCGGCGGCGACCGTGCTCACGCTGGCAACCCGCCCAAAAGACGAAGGCCCACAGGATCTAAACCCGGGCGTCGCGGGCTCCTTTTGAAGCCCCCCCCCTCCCTGGTTGTAGGGTCGTGCTCCCCTATCCCTTGGAAGGCCTCTGAGCGAGATCGAGCACAATAGCCTCTCGCACCGGTTTTTCGACAAGGTATCGAGAGGTGCCTGGTCTGTGGCTGAAGCAGTTCGGACGGCGCGCGACGTCGCTGATGTATACGGGCACTCCTCGGAAATCATCAACGGGCGGGCTTCTCTGGGCGGCTCTGGGGAGAGTAGCATCGGCAACGTCCAGCGAGATCTCCTCAGGTGGTCGAAAACTTTCAAGCTGCATCTAGATCCAGCTACAGTCCAAGTGCTGTACCAGAACCATAGGAATAACGGCACCGTGGTCCGAGGTCATAGTGTTATTTACCCTCGCGAGGTTTTGGGGGCATTGTTCGATTCAGGAGAAGTAGTGTTTAAGACTTGCATCCTGGGGGAAGGAGGGGAGACCGCCCTTGATGAGTTTTGGAAGCACAATTTGCAGTTCGACTGGGCCAAGAATCACCCAGGATTCGTCGAGTTCAAGATCCCCACAAACAAAGCAATCCCCTTCGGGTTCCACAGCGATAGTCGGAGAACGAACAACAACAAAAGTGTAAACTTTCGGAGGTCCGCGAAATTATTGGATCGGCGGCGACCTCCAAGCTGCGCCTCCACTGGCGCGCGGAGCGCGCCGGGCCTAGGGGCCCGCCGCAGATTCGATAATTCCGCGAGGCCCTCCGAACATTTATTCTTATGCTGTTATTTCTTCCTCGGTGTAAAGGGCAACACATCAAGCGTGACAAGATGTTGGCGATGTCTTGGGGGTCGATCATGAGTGCGACCACGACGATTTGGAGAGTATGGCACTATACCGTTCTTCCTGATGAGCTTGCCATCGCTCATACTTCGGCAGAGCAGCTCCACGCTGCGTTCGTATGGAGCTGCGAGGTTATGCTGCGCGGGGTCTACCCTGACGCGGACCACGAGGGGAAACCGTGGCCGATGGGGAGTCGGAGGGAGGAGCTGGCAGGCAAGCTCATCGCAGGCTCAGGGGTGAAATATAAAAGGGGGCGGGGATCGAGAGATGGACGTGTTTCCCTGGCCGCCTGAGAGGCGGATACCGCATGCTCTTTGCTGAATGTCGGGGCGACTGGGAATGGCAAGCCGAGACGTGTGGCTGGAGGCCAATGCGGACTGCAAAAATGATGGGGAGGATGGTGGAATGAGGAAGGGGCGAGGGAAGCGGGGGAGGATAACGAGTGGGGGGAGGGAGAGGATAATATTTGCTTTGCTGGCCCGCCCAGGCACTACAGATGCAATTTCATTTGCCACAGAGACTGGGCTTCGAAGGCGCTTCAAGCTTTTTCGTTCTCGGACTTCAGTGATGATGCTGCCTGGCGAACAACTGAGATCCCAGAATCTTCCTTTTGGCAATTCTGTGATCGCCGCGCGAGCGTGCTCACGCTAATGCCCGGGTGGACCCGAAACAGGGTCAAAATAGACACTATGCATTGTTCAAACCTAGGGGTATCCCATCTTCTCATTGCGAACGCTTTGGTGTTTTTTTTCCCTGCATCGGGCGCATCAATCACTGCGGGAACCTAGGCTCGCACCTCTTGATCCAGCAGCTTCGTTTGACGATGTCCTGTGGGATTTGCAGCTCCGTTTTAAGCTCTGGCTTTCGGATCGCAAGCTCTGTTGCAGCTGCAAACGCTTCACATCTAAGTCCGTGCACCGCTCGAGTGGGAACGAATATCCAGTGTTTATGTGCAAGGCTGCACAATCCCCATACATAGTGGCTTGGCTTTCAGATCTGGCCGGAGAGTTTGCGTCCCATTGCGACGCATACATCAAGCCTGAAGCGGACGTGGTAGCTGCCTGCTTGTGGGGCAAAGCAGCCTACTATGATATCATCAGGCGCAGCTCCAGGTTTTTCACACAAGCCGATGCTGATCGCCTTTACGATGCTGGGCATACGTTTCTCTACACATACGCTCACTTGCGCAGGATCTCAGTGCGACGGTCCACGCACATGTGGAGCATCGTGCCCAAGTTTCACCAGCAGGGCGACAAGATCTATACATGTGCACCGCCGCTGGCCAAACCCAACCTGGCCTCAAGAGCGGCGCGTGCGTCTCCGTGGCCAAAGGGCGCGGGACGGGCCTGGCCAGCGGCGTGTATATGTACAGATCTCGCTGCCCAACCCAGCTCCAGCATTTGCTGATCGACGCAAAGGTCGAATTGCAAAATCCTCGGTTCAGCCATTGTTTTTCGGGCGAAGATTTCGTCGGTCAGATGATAACTGCGCTATCGTCGGTTCACCCAGCGACTGCCGTTTTCTCTGCAGTCTCGAAGGTGATCATGGGCCTGAAGGAGCGGCTTCAGAACTCAGGTCCACCAATTAAGTAGTCGGCGATGTCCGACACTAGACATGCAAACGTAATACGCCATAAGAAACCATAACCAACCATAAGAAACCATAAGGAACCATAAGGAACCATAAGAAACCATAAGAAACCATATTGGATGACCGCGTTGAGGTTTGGAAGCGTGTCGGATGTTGCTTTCGCAAGTGCGATGTTTCGTTCTAGAGCTGCGGAGATTTTTCTGCGAGCTGTTGCACTCATTTATTCGCCCGGGGCTCGAGGTGAATAAAGCATCATGAAAATAGGGGCGGACACAAAAAATGGAGAGACCATCCTCCTGCCCTTCCTACTCCTCCCTGGCCCACTCCACGCATCCTCACATTATCCTCCTCGTCCTCCTCCTCCTCCTCCTCCTCCTCCTCATCCACGGCGTCCACTCCTCCGCGGCCATTGTGCGCGGTAGTCTTCGCTATGCTGCGCAATGCTATGCAGAGCAATGCCAGTGAACGCGTGCCCTGAAATTGCCGATACGAGTGATCGGCACTTGCACGAATGGACGTCGACGTCGACGAAACCAAGGGATGCTGTAAGAACCCCCCTCACCCTCGGCCACCCCGATGGCGGCCCCAGCGAGGAAACAATGATGGTTGGCGAGGGCCCTGGCGGCGAAATGACCGATGAAAAGGATAATGAAGATGAGCAGAAGAAGAAGAAGAAGAAAAAAAAAAAAAAAAAAAAAAAAAAAAAAAAAAAAAAAAAAAAAAAAAAAAAAAAAAAAAAAAAAAAAAAAAAAAAAAAAAAAAAAAAAAAAAAAAAAAAAAAAAAAACACACACACACATCGGATCAATGTTGCAGATTTTGCATGGCCCTTCTCGCTCCTCCTTTCGCCTCTCTCTCGCCTCCCGCTCGTGGCTCTCGGCCCTCGTCGGCTGTGTTGTCGGGCCTCGTTCGGCCCCCTCGTCGGCGGGGCTCCGCCTCGGCCCCTGCGTTCGCCCTTTTTTCTCACACGTCACCACGCGGACCGTCGGTCCCCAACGGGGCGGCTGGGACTGCGCGCGGGGCCGTCGGCTCCCACGAGGGTCGGCTGGGACTGTGCGCGGGGCCGTCGGCGCTCAGGGGGTTAACTGGGGCTGCTCACGGACCCTCGGCTCCCAACTACACATAAATTAAATAATAGAGTCCACCATTGGCCCAAAAGCCGTGCATCAGTCAATCAGTCAGTTCCTCCTCCTCCTCTTCGCCTCCTCCTCCTCCTCCTCCTCCTCCTCCTCCTCCTCCTCCTCCTCCTTTCTCCTCCTCATACTCCTCCTTTCCCTCCTCCTCCCCCCCTTCCCCCTCGGGTGGGGAAGGGTCGCTGCCCAAAACAAGCATCGCTTTCAACGCAAAATCTGACCTGGGCTCCATAACGGACTTCGGGGGCTCATCGTAGCGCGCGGGCCGCCCAAACACCCATTCCAACTGAAACGCTGACGTCGCCGAAAAGTTGCCCAGACCACGGCCCCAACGCACGGGAAAGGAGGGAGGAGTGAGGAGGGGAGTGGGAGGAGCAGCAGCATCAGGAGGAACAGGATGAGGAGGAGGAGGAGGACGGGAGGACGCGGAGAAAAAAAGGAGAAGAATGATTTTTGTTTGCAAGGCGACTGCAATTTCAGCGATCGGCACAACGTGAACCAACCAAATCTGGCAATAACCAACGAGCTGACAGCGACACGACCAGATTTTCATCGACAACGCAACGAATTTGCACCCGAAAACGAAAGACAAACCATAAAAACAGGCACGTGTGCGCATCGGCCGTTTCATGCGAAACCACGGTAAATTAGACTTCCCCGGAATGGAAGTCTAAGCGGGGCACCGAAGTCTAAAAAAATAGCCTTCCGGATGCTCTGGGTTTGTATATCCACGAGAACTGGCGCGACTGCGGGCTCAACCACCTCGGCACTTTCGCAAGAAGGAAGCGCCTCTGTGAGCTGTGGGCGACCTTGCCAGAGGACGAGAAACGGGCATGCCGTGAGAGAGCTGCCGCCCAGGAGTTATCACGAGGAGATGCTGATGTTGATTTCCCGACTTTCTGCGCGGTCCATTCGCCGTACCTCAACAGGTCCGAGAGGTCGCGGGCAGCCCAGCGAGCTGCAAAGATATCATTGGATAAAATGATTAAAAATGCCTGCGGCGCCCTCCGACGCCCACAGCACGCGGCACACGCAGTGGTCATGAAAAGCCCCCCTCCCTCGGCCTCTCCGTCATCATCCATCCCCCCCCCCCCCGCCCTCGGCATGTCCCGCGCCGCCCTCGGCCCCAGGATGCTCGTCGGCCTGCCTCGTCACCCGCGCCCCGTCTCGTCGTCGCCATCATCATCATCGTCATCATCGCCGTGGCCGCGCCCGCCCCCACGTCATCATTAACGCGGTCCATGAGGAGTTTTCCATGACCACTGCGGGGGGGGGGGGGCGCGCCGAGGGACGGATGAGAAGCATGCTGGATCTAGGTGCGACGGCGGTCCTCGTTTGTACCGAAACGGCTGCACGACTGAAAACCCAGTGGCCCCATTCAGTTTGGATGACCGTTCAGATGGCCACTTCGAAAAGGAGTGTTTCGCACAGCTGTTCGCCCTGTGGGTTTCAGGGGGCCCTTGTGTCCCGAGGTCCGCGGGGCACTGGTGGTCCCTGGCTGCCTGCGCAGCCCGTTCCACATGGCCCCCCCTTCCCCCCCCTTGCCTCCGCGGCGCGATGGCGCCTGTCACGCCGGCCCCGCCCTTCGGCCCCGCCAGGGCCACGGTGCCCCCCTTATGCCCCAAGGGGCTTGGCCGCAGGAATGCCGAGACGCGAAGGACCCCTTCCCCCCTCCCCCCCCCTCCGAAAAAGACATCTCCGAACGGCTCCCGATGCAATGCATGAGCGCATGGCGGCGACGTGGCGTCCGCCATCCTCTCAGGGGGCTAGCTCTTCAGCTGTTTCGCTCTCGGTGCGCCTGCGTTGCCATCGCTGTCTCGTTGGCGGGGGACAAGTCATCCTGCGTGGTCATGTGGGTGCTCTCTCGGTGGATTCGGCGCGGGTTTGAGGCCGGGCGCTGTTGCGGGCGGCGCAGACGAGAAGATCAGGGCAGATGTTGCTTCGATCTTCAAATGCGATCCGCAGCCGCAGCCGTCTAGCAGATTGCCCCTCAATCCGTTTAAAGTTTGCAATTTGGCACACGCTGGGATTTGCGAGTCCGACCCTGTTTTCAACGGAGCCACGGTCGGCAGCTACAACCTGTATGTGATGCTAGGGCGTCGCAGCGCCAAGGTTGGGCCTCGGCTTCTTCGTCTAGCCGTGGGGGACGTGCCAGCTAGTGTGGGGTACCATTTTATGTGCCGATGCTTCGGTCGAGGCGACTTCTGTCTTTTCGCGCGGGCAGAGCAGGTCGACGTAGCTGGCGCGCCCGGCGCCGGCCGCCATGTCGCCCTCGCTGCGAACGACGACATCTGCGCCGTCAGCACGTCGCAGCAGGTGTTCCGCAGGGTCCTCCTGAAGGTGAGCCTGTTCAGCCACGAGCCTGCGAAGGAGTTCGACTGGTGGGCCGCGCGGGTGGTCGAGGAGACCAGCTTCGACGTCCCCCTCGTCGCGCGCCTGCGGCAGCCTCGCAAGGCGAAGGTCGCCGAAGGCCCGAAGGCGGCGCTCCCGTTCGGCATCACTTGCGAGGAGGACGATGTCAAGGGCGACGAGGGCCACGATGACAAGGACACCCAGGGCTCCTCCGACGGCGACGGCGGCATGGCCGACGTGGGCGCCGTCGACGGGGGCGACGGCTTCGACGCGGGCATCTCGTCCGAGAGCGAGCTCGACCCTGCCGCCGAGTCCGACCAGGACTATGCCTCGGAACAGACGGGGTTCAACTGGGTTTTCAGCGGGCCCTCGTGGGGCCCCCGATGGAGAGGGGGAGGGCCGATGGGACCTCGGAGTTTTTTTCGGGGCCATTTTGAAACCACTTGGGCCCCAGGGCCGCGCTCTTGAAAAGCGGAGTTTGGGGGCGGGGGGGAGGGGGCGGTGGCGCTGCGAGGCCGTCAGACGATTGCGTTTGCCTTTTCCATGTCAGAAACTTTGGCTGAAGTGACGTGTAGGAGGAGGAGGAGGTGAAGGAGAGGAGGAGGAGGAGGGCAAGGAAGGTGAGGAGGAGGAGGAGAAGGAGAAGGAGAGGAGGAGGAGGAGGCGAAGGAACTTTGGAGAAGGAGGAGGAGGAGGTGAAGGAGGGGGGGAGGAGGGCAATGATGGATGTGGCGACGAGGGGAAGGAGGAGGATGAGGAGGAGGAGGAGGAGGAGGGGGTGGAGGGGGAGGGCGAGGAGGACGAGGATGAGGAGGATAAAGAGGGGGAGGACGGGGAGGAGCAGGATCCCGCTCATCAGCCTTCTCTTCCTTGTCTCCCTTCCTCCTCCTCCTCCTCCCCCTCCTCCTCCTCCTCCTCCCCCTCCTCCTCCTCCTCCTCTTCCTCATCCTCATCCCCCCCCTCATCTGTCCCCTCCTTTACTTCCGCCGCCGTCCCTCTCCCCGCCTCCCCGCCGTCTTCTTCCAGCCCGGCCCCCCCCCCGTCGCCTCCGCGCGGCTCTGGGGGCAGCAGGGCCCCATGGGGGCTTGCTGGCCCCGGTGGCGGGGCGCCGTCGGGCACCCAGGGCTCGCGCGGCCAAACCCGTGGGACCTGGGTGAACTCGCGGGGCTTGCTAGGGACTTGGGGGGGGGGGGGGGGGTCCGTCGGCCCCCGCGCTGATCATCGCGGCCCAGGGGGTGGGGCTCGCGACGTCGCATTGCTCTGCGCTGGCGGAGCTGGCCCTCATGGGGGAGATGGGGGGGGAGGAGGGCAGGGCAATACGGAGAAGGTGGGGGGGGGGGGAAGGGGGGAAGGGGGGGGGGGAGGGGCGAGGAGAGGAGGGCGACGAGAAAGAGCAGGACGAGGAGAGGAACGAAGCGGCGGAGGAAGAGGGGGCGGTGAAACGGGAAACGCAGCACGAGATCCCCCCCCCTCCCGCTCCCCTTTCCCGTCCGCTCGCCCTCTGGAGAGCGCGGCTGACTCCGAGGGCGCGCCTCCGGTGCCGTGGAACGCCGCGGGCTTGAAGGGCTACGGCTTCGCCCCGAGCAACAGATCGTTGTGTTATTTATGTGGGGGCCTGCGCATTCCGAAAGATCCATTTCGTTTGCAGTTCCGCCGTGCCCCGACTAAGAAGATGAGTGACCTCAGGTATATACGCGCCCCTTGTCTCAATGCACTGCCACCTGATCTCAAAGAGGCCAGCGCCAGGCAGCTTCGCCAGTGGATCAGGACAGGAGGGGATGATCGTCTCAGAGACGAGCTGCGCAATGCGTTGCGCCCGCTTGAGGGTTGATGTGTTTTGTTTCCCGCTGCCTGGCAACGCTGCGCCTGTCTGCGCGAACTGCGCGCTTGCTTTCACCCGCGCCTCCCACTCCTCGAAGCCCCCCCCTTTCCCTTCCGCCGCCCCTCCCCCTCCTTTCGCCCATCCACCTTCTCTCGTCATTGCTCCCTCCCCCTCACCCCCGCCCCCTTCCAAGGCGTTCGACGACGCGCGTTGGGCGTGGGCGAGGGGCGCGTCGGCGGGCGGGGTCGTGGGTGGGCGGCGGCAAGCGCTCGCGGCGTGGCCGCGTCGTTAGTGATGGCGGCGCCGATGGTGATGATGGTGATCGCGTCGTTGATGATGCGGTCTGAGACGCAATCAAGCATTTACAAATGTGATTCTGATGTGGACGACGCTGGCGGTGATGACGTGATGGCGGCGGGCGTTTCCGTTGTCTTGCTGGTGGTCGTTTGGCGCGAGGGTGCGAATGATGCGCGCTATTAGGCGGTAGCGCGGTACTGATGACAAGTGCGATCGCGATGGGCGCGATGGCGTTGCTGACCCTGGCGATGGCCATAATGGTGCGATTGCTTGGCCGCCGCGCCGCAATTACGTGGGGGCCGACGTCATTGATGATGATGGGGATAGTGGCTACGACGGCCCACGTGCAAACTTAGGCGCCAGTGCTGGCCAGGGCCGCGGGCCTTCCCCCCCCCCCCCCTAATTCGACGCAGGTGGCTTGACGTGGGCACGGTGCCTCGACGATATGGGCGCGGTTTTTTGCTGCGCCACGCTGGGCCAGCGCGCGCCGGCCAAAAGGATGTCGCGCCACACTTGCGCGACGATGAGCGTCGCCGCAGCGCAATTGCGCTGTGGTTGCCTCACGTGCAGCGCATCGCCACGCCGCCCGAATGGCTGCTGAAGTTTGCGCCTCGCGACCCCCCGAAACCGCGCAGGGCGCGCCGAAATGCGCTGCGCGCTTGGATCGGGGCCGACTCTGCTCAACTGTGCTCGGATTGTGCTCGGATCGGGGCCGACTGTGCTCAACTGTGCTCGGATCGGGGCCGACGATGCTCAACTGTGCTCGGGCTGTGCTCGGAGCGGCGGTCCGAGCGAAGTTGAGCGCAGTCGTCGTCGGATGCCTTTTTTTCCAATCAGGATGGCCCCCGTCCGAGCGCAGTTGAGCACACTCGGCCCCAATCCGAGCACATTCCGAGCACAGTTGAGCACAGTCGGCCCCGATCCGAGCACAGTCCGAGCACAGTCGAGCACAGTCGGCCCCGATCCGAGCACAGTTGAACACAGTCGGCCCAGATCCGAGCACTCGCCGAGCGCAGACGACCCGATTCTGGGCCAGATCGGCCAACGTCAAAAACAGCGCGGCCCAACTGTGCCCCAGTTGGGCCGACCCATCCTGATGGGAAAATACATATGACGCGAGCGACATGGGCCTCCGAAGCCACCCCAGCGGGGGTCGTCGAAACCGCAGCAAATCCAAGCGCCGCCGTTTTTCGACGTCGTCGTGGTTAGGGCAAAACGGGATTGTGCTCAACTGTGCTCGGACTGTGCTCGGATCGAGGCCGACTGTGCTCAACTGCGCTCGGATCGGGGCCGGCCCTGCTCAACTGCGCTCGGACTGTGCTCGGATTGGGGCCGACTGTGCTCAACTGCGCTCGGGCGGGGGCCATTCTGATTGGAGAAAGAAAAGAAGAATAATAATAAGAAGCAGGAGAATAAGAAGAAAAAAAAAACGACGACGACTGCGCTCAAATTCGCTCGGACCGCCGCTCCGAGCACAGCCCGGGCACAGTTGAGCACAGTCGGCCCCGATCCGAGCACAGTTGAGCACGGTCGGCCGTCCTCCGAGCACAGTCCGAACACAGTTGAGCACAGTCGGCCCCGACCCAAGCGCGCAGCGCATTTCGGCCCGCCATGCGCGGTTTCGGGGGAGCGCGAGGCGCCAAATTCAACAGCCATTCGGGCGGCGTGGCGTTGCGCTGCGCGCGAGGCAACCACTGCGCAACTGCGTTGTGGCGACGCAGGTTGCGCCGCGGCGCCAATGGTAGGGGGGCCGACGTCGTTGGCGATGACGAGGAGCTACGACGGCCCAAGTGCAAACCTAGGAGCTTGTGCTGGCCAGGGCCGCTGCGCCCTCCCCTCCCCCCCTAATTCGTCGACGCAGGTGGCCTGGCCTGGGCGCGGCGCGTCGGCGCCATGGGCGCGGCTTCCTGCTGCGCCACGCTGGGCCAGCGCGCGTCGGAAACAAACGAAAATCGCGCAACACTTGCACGACGACGATGGCACCATCATGGCCGCCACCAGGGTCAGCAGCGCCATCGCCCGCATCGCGTTCGCCATCAGTCCCCCTGCCATATTGCACCCGTCCACGCACGCGCACCATTCCACCCTGCCCAAGACAGCCCCGCCCGCCCGCGAACCGCCACTACCGCTCGCCAGCGCGCGACGCGTAGGCGGGAGGGCGCGCGCGCGATGGCGAGCGGTAGTGGCGGTTCGCGGGTAGAGAGGGAAAGAGACAGGGCGAGAGAGAGAGAGAGAGAGAGAGAGAGAGAGAGAGAGAGAGAGAGAGAGAGAGAGAAAACGAGAGGGCGAGAGAGAACGAGCTAGCGAGCGAGCGAGCGAGCGGGTAGTCGGTGGGATATATATATATAGACATATATATATACATATAAATATATAGAGAGAGAGGGAGAGAGAGAGAGAGAGAGAGAGAGAGAGAGAGAGAGAGAGAGAGAGAGAGCGCGCGCGCGTCGGCACGCGCCTGCGAGCGCGCGCGTGCGTGATTGCGCGTGCGTGCGTGAGTGGCCGCGTTGAAATGTTTGCGGGGTGGGTCGGTCGTGGTCCAGACGGGGCAGGGGCGCTGGCGGGGCGGGGGGGGGGGGCGCGTGGCGGTGGTGGCGGGCGCGTGGATGGGGATTGCGCGCGCGTGGGCGTCGCGGGGTTTGCGCGCAGATGGTGGGCGGGGTGGGGCGGGGGTTGCGGGCAGCGGGTGTGCAAGCAACCGTTGTTTCGCGTGCGTTCGCAAAGCCGCAAAACGAGAGTTTTCCATCGCGTTTGGGTCCTGTTAGTGTGCGAGAATCGTCGTTGTTCTCTGGCCAATCAAACGACCGCGGTGTTTTCATCCAGCCCATCTCCCCGTCTGACCTCTCTCACCCCCCCAGTTGCTGCGCGCGCTGGCCCAGTTGTTCCTTCGGCTCTGCAGCGAGGCAGCGAAGCATGAGGCACAGCGCTTTCCTTGAGAACAACAGCTGTCCAGGCCCACTCTGGTCATTTGCTACTCCTGCGTTTTTTGGGCCCGCTGGCGCATTCGCTTCGTTCTCTAGTGTTATCGACCTATCATTCCTCTGTATCAATCAATCATCATCCCCGTCTCGGGCCGTCTCGCCCAACAAGGCAGGCGCATTTGCCACCTGCGCGGGCAGGATGGCTTCGCCCGGAGCGCCCTGCCGTCTTGTGCGCGCGCCGTTTGGGCGTGCAAGGCGGCTTCTCGGAGAACAGCTTGCGCCGCGCCGTTTGGGCGCGCAAGGCCGCCAAGCGCGCCGAAGGGCGCGCTGCGTCGGGCCATTTTCAAAACAAAAAAAACACGAAGAAGGACCTTCTGGATAGTATTTGGGCCATCTTGGGCAGTCTTGGCTTGGGGATCTTGGTGCCTCTAGGCCTCTAGGGGATCTTGGGCTCTTGGAGGCGCAGTGGGGCTCTCTCGGGGCGTCTCTAGGCTCTCGGCGTTTCGAAGCTCGGGTGCATGCCCGCCCCCTCGCCCCCCCCCGCGCCCTCCGCCCGCCCGCCCGCAGCCCGGCGTGCACCAGCATCGCAGCTGTTCCAGCAAACAGTTTATGGCAATAACACGTCGTAGGGGCCGCTACCAAAGAACGCACTAATTCTTCAAACATAACAACACGGGTGGCATCACACAATGACAAGAACACGCGTGGGCCACTTGCATTCCAGAGGCATGGTAGGCCATGTGGTTCCATCGCGTGCTGTATCCCAGGGGCACTCCAGAGGCATGGTATTAGTTTGGCACTAGGTTGTATGATCACAAGGGGCACTCCAGAGGGGGCTCCAGAGGCTTGCACGCGACCTCATCTGCACCCGCATGCATCGAACGCGTCGGCCCGAGGTTCGCAGGCCCCTTTACCCGCCAGCAACACAAGGTGCAGCTCGGGCCATGGTGGGGAGGAAGTTTCTTCGCAGGTTGAAGCCTGTAGCTCGCAGGAAGTTCAAGGCACTGATGAAACAGCTCAAGACGGAGAAACGCAAGACCTTTCACCTCAGGTCTCGCGTGCGTTTGCTGAGGACTGTGCTCGGTCGCCATCGCCAGTTATCAGATGAGGCGCTCCGCAATGATGACACTCGGGCGAATCGTGACGCCGTGACGGAAGCCAACGTCTCCGATGTGACCGAGTCTGATGGGGGGCCGCCGCAGGGTGGAGCTGCCGCCGCTGTTGCAGGTCAGCCGCCAGCGGCTGCAGACAGTGCTTCCGATGACGGTGATGATAGTTTCGAGGAGGATGATGATCCGGATGAGTATTCGCCTGTAGGGCTTGAAGGCTGAGCCACTGGCAGAGCAAGCTACGACGCCTGCGCAGCGCGGCGCGATGCGCCCTTTTGCATCCCCGTGCACAGCGGCCGATGCCACCAGTCGGTCGCGCCAGCAAATCAAATCGTCACTCCCCATCGCAACCAGCCGCCTCAATCCATGCAGCGTTTTCCAGTGAGGGCTTATGTCATATATCAGCTTTCCTGGGTGAGGCCCTTGAGGCTTGTAGCGGGCTCCGCGGGCCTTCATCATCTAGGGAACTCCAGTGGCTCATTTCAGATGGCAGTTCAGATGGCTGGTCGGGAGGCCGCGGGGAATGAGGCGGCCACGGCGGTCCAGAAGTGTAGTGAGAGCTATTGCACGTCCGATCGTTGTGCGGATGCCCCCCGCTGTTCCAATGCGCAGTGAGCCTGACTGGCATCGCGCCAGGTCTTGTCCGTGCACATTGCGGTTCAAGCCAGGTTCTTCATCGGGCCCCGCCCTGGCAGTCAGGAGATCACCAGTCATGCCTGCCGTCGCTTCGAAGGGCGTTGACCCCAAGAAGCCAGCGACTGCCAAGAAGCCCGTGAACAAGTGGCGCCAGAACCCACCGCAGCATTGCGAGAGTTGCGACCAGGACACGCACAGTCTGGATCGGGACGCGCCTCCTGGCCGTCCCGTGCATTTAGCTTGGACGAAGACTGCAGCGGATCACAGACTGAAGAGCGGTTATCCTTTGTGCGGGCGCGAGTGCTACAAGTGCGGAGACGCGCGCAGGAGCAATTTTCATAACATACCACAGCAGCAACTTCTGGACCAGAGGAAGATGCCCCCTGAGCTTGGTGAGCGCTTCTGCTGTTTGCGCAAGAAGAAGGTCGGAGGGGAATCGTACCACGAGTCCCAGGAGAAGGTCGATGTCAACGCGTACAAGACGCATGACCGCGAGGAGGCAGCAACAGAGTTCTTCCGAGAGGGTTCTTGGATCGAGTTGTGGAAGTTCGTGGGGGGCCACAGGATGCGCATGACGAAGGAGACCCACACCGAAGAGCAGGCGATTCAAGCTGTCCTAGCGAAGTACCCTCGCTACTCGTGCGACTACGAGGAGGAGGGCGTCATGGGAGTGGAGATCGAGGACGAGCACAGGGGCATCAAGAGGTTCAAGCGCGGCGTGAAGAAGTCCCAGGACAAGATCAAGGAGCGCATGCACGAGGACCTGAAGGCGAAGCACCTTCGCATTCCAGTGAGGTCCAGCGCGCGTGAACCAGAGGCTGATTACGGTCTGCCGTCGCTGGATCGGGTTGCTCGGGAATCAGACCTCAAAAGCGGCATGATGAGGGTGATCTTACTTGGGTGTCTCTGTGTCACGGGGGCTCCTTCGGTAGCTCGGGGCCCCTGGGGCTACGGGGGGGGGGCAAGTAGGGGATCCAAGGTAGCCGGTCCCAGGGCTGCCCCACCCCACCTCGGGCCGTATATGTTACATGTTCTAAGCCACACAAGGCGCGCCCATGTGAACAACCCGTAACTGCATTTGGGGAGACATTTCTGGGGTCGACGTTTGGTCGGGGCGCGCTCGAGGGGGGTGGGGGGTGTGGGGGGTTACAAGTCGAAAGCAACATGTAGGCGCCTTTGTAACTCGAAGTCGTCAAATCGCCACCTGGTCGGTGGGCCCAGCCGTGGCCTTCTTAGCCCCGTCTCCCCCTCCCGGGGCCAGGGATCCCGAATGCGCACTGAAGCAGTGGTGTGGAATTCTCTTGGTGTGATTCCTGAATGGCCAATCTGCAGGCACGCATTGGCGGGGGCTCTGCGTCGATCCTTGGATCTTCGGCGTCAGCGGCCGACGACTCTGAGTTCTTTGGGGCGGACGGGATGTCTCAGGAAGCGGCATCCGAATCGCGTCGTCGCAGGTGTGGCAAGCAGCCGGCCTCCTCCGTCGGCGACCCCGAGCACGTGCTGACTCCTGCGAAGAGGTCTGGTTCGTGCCTCGGGGCCTTGGGACGCAGCGCCCCCTCCTCTGTGAAACAGCAGCGGCGTGGCAGCGATGCCCAGTCAGCTGCTTGCTCGGACGTGCCAGGTCAGAAGAACAAGAAGTCCAAGGGCGATGACCTTCTGATGGAGAGCGCCACGGCCATGCTCGCCGAGCACAAGGAGAAGTTCACGATTGCCGAGCGCTGAGAGCAGCGCCCGAAGAAAAGAGACCTCAACAACGCCATCAGCATAATCCAAGGCTTGGCCAGAAAGTGCGGTGTTAAAACGACGAACCACACCCTCCAGGATCTATCTTGCCAGCTCTCCGACTTGGCCGAGGTCTTGGAAACGCGCCATTCCGTCCTGGAGAAGATTCGCATAAGTTTTAAAGACGTCGTCCTCGGGAAGGACACCGACATCCAGAGGAATCAGGTGAGCCAGGTGTTGAGCAGTGCCACAGCGGAGTTGTTGTTGTCCATGATGACCACGGAGATCCAGAAGGTGGCCGACGAATCCATCGGTGCGAAAGATTCCAACCTGGATTCTCGTCAAGCTTTCATCCACGCATTGGGTGCCACGGAGACCACTCGAGCGAGGGGGGCCCAACTCTATCCCTTGGCCTTGTCGGGCCCACCCTGAACGCAGCGAAGTCCCAGCGTGCCTTGGTTCTCTACATCGTCGACCGCTTCTGGCGCGCACAAGACGTCAGCATCATCGTCACCCTGTCCAAAGTATTGTTGAGCGTGGCCCCTGAGCTCGACAACGTCAAGCTCTCCGAACTCAACGTTGCAGCGGACTCGGGCGAGTTCATCGAAGGGAAGTGGGCGCGCCAAGCAGTCGCTGACTTGACCATGATCGTCGTGGGGGGCCAGGTGCTGGAGTGCCACATGCACTCAGGCGAGCAGAGCAGGGAGCTGCGCGCGAAGTGCCTGATGATCGCGGAGCACAAGGACAAGCTAAGCTCTCGCCGCAAAGCCTTCTTCAAGACCGTGCACGGCGCGCACGCCAAACACGGGGGGACGGCTTTGGACATCATTGAGGGGGTCTACAGAGCCGCAGCCACCCGCCGTGAGCCAGCGACATCCGACTTGGGCGCCCTGGCGGGCTTCGCAGGGGAGTTGCGCGACGAGTTGCAGGCGGCGCTTAAAGTCGGCTGGCGAGAGGCTGGCAACGCCCTCATTGAGCGGATCGACCCCGATGACGATGCAGGTGTCGAATGTTTGAACAAACTCAAGGCCTTGGGCGAGTACTCTGGCCAGCTAGACGCCCAGCCCGCAGAGAAGGTTACCGAAGAGCTGACCGCCATTGGCAACGCTGTGGCGTCTACGCTGCTGGCTATGCTGGACGGTCTGCTCGAGGAGGTCCAACGCCACAGCGCGATCTTGGGTCAGATTTGCGATGGCCCCCCCGTCAAGCAGGGCAACGATGCTGGTGACTCGGCGGGGGGCGGGCCAGAGGCAGTGGGCGCCGCTGCTGCAGCAGATGGCGCAGATATTGATGAGTGCGCGTTGATTTTCAACCTTCATTGCTGGATCCTCGGCATCTTGATGCACTACGACACGTTTGCGAATCAGAAGATCAAGCAGTGCAATGAGATCTCCGACCTGCACGCCGCCGTTATCAACGAGGCCCCCCGAGATCTGAACACCGATGATGCGACGAGGTTGGCGTTCACAACGTGGTCGAAATACTGGCAGATGGAGCGGAACATCAAGGAGGGGTCTCGGGTCTTAGCCGACGACTGCGGCAATGAATTGAACGCGTTCACACAGAAAGCCGCTGCCCATAAGTACCTTTTCCAGGGTGTTCGTCAAGCTGATGACCGAGGTCGTTGGTTCAACGTCGACATGTTCGTTGGTCGCTTTAGGCTGCTACGACGAGAAGGCTGGCGTCTCCCCTGCCGAGTTGATCCCTGGCATGGCGGCTGGCCGTTCAATTCACAAGGCTTCCGACGCGGCCAAGAGCATCGAGAACGACATTTTCCGCGGAGGCATGGTCGAAGTGGTGGCGGCCATGGAGGGCTTGCACAAGGCAAAGAGCGAGGCGCCCGACGTGTTCACGAAGTGCAACGACATGGATAAGATCAACGCCAAGCTGGAGTGCGAGCTCACGAGCCGCGCGACGTGGCCGAAGGCCAAGTGCGAGTCCGCCCTCACGGCCATGGAGCAGTTCAGGAGGGAGTTCGGCGTCGTCGTCGACTGCTTGAGCGATTGGAATCGCTTTCGCTTCGCGAATCCCCATCGCCCCATCCTAGAACAGCCGCTCGAGCCAAGAGATCGACCATCGGGATGCGTTCTTCGCTTCCTTAGGCTGTCCTGGTTGAGTGATTGCCAGTCGTCGCTTGCAGCGCGCGCTGACGGGCGCGCGCGCCCTTGGCGACGCCCGCTGGGATGCGAGCGCAGCGAGCAACGGCGGGCAACCGCTCGACCAGTGACGGCAGGAGGGGGGGCCCAACGGTGCCCCCAGGAGATCTCGAGGACGGCCTGAGGAGATGGGAGAGGACGAGGTGGGAGGACAGGAGAGCAGATGGGGGCAGGAGGAGGGGGCAATGGGGGGAACGCGAGGGGGGGACACATCAGGTGACGAGAGGGGGGGCGAGCAGGAGGGGTGGATATTGGATGACAGCGGTGGAGGCCACATGGGGATAATGGCAGAGGAGGGGTGGAGTGGGAGCGGAGGTGGCGACAAGGGGAAAACAGAGGGGGGGGAGAGAGGACAGTAACAAGCATATAACATGAGGAGTTGGAGGTCGTGGAGGAGGAGGTGGAGAGAGGGGAGGTAGCAGGTGGGCGGGATCGGGGGGTGGAGGAGACGAGAGGAGGGAGGAGAGTGGCGAATGACGACGATCACAATGCCAAGTGGCGACTGCAGAAGGAGTAGGCATGTGGTCGGTTACGACGAGCGGTACTGACGAAAGCGACGAGGAATAATAAAACGACGACGACGACGACGACGACGATAACGACAGAGACGGCGACGACGACAGAGGTTTGATTCGTTTTGGGGCATTCTTGGGGCGCGCGAAGGGTCTGATTAGCACGGCGTGGCAGGGGATTGCAGGTGCCCCGCGAAAACCTCGCATAAAAAGCACGGGCCTTTTTCATATCACTGGGGAGGCCCATGCAATGACCCTGCAGGGGCCCTTGCGAATGCCTTGCAAAAACAGTGCGAACCCTGCAGTGACCCTGCGATTACTTGCCGAAGGCCATGCGACGGCCAGGCCTTGGGGGCCACCCCGAGGCCTCGGAAGGACATAAGAGGCGAAACATCGAACTGAACCGTTGATGATCGTTTGAAGTTTGATTTGTTGGTATGTCGGGTGCTCTCGTGGCTCTCGCGGGGTTCTCTCGGTGTTTTCTCGGGGCCTTCGCGGGGCTCTTTGGGGGGAGGGGGGGGGGGCGGGGCTCGAAGAGGGGGGGTCTCCTTGGGTCACCTTGGAGAGGCCATCGATCAGCGCTCAAACGGGCATTCCCTATGCGCCCCCCCTCCCCGTCGGGGCCGCGATCCTTGTGGGGGGCGCCCCTAAACCATTGGCCGAACCGTGGCGCTCCCACGCCTCGCGGGGCCCCCCCGCGCCCTTCTCCAGGCCCAGGGGGCGTGGAGGAAGGTGTCGCCCCCCCCGATAAGGAAGAAGCGGGTTGTGCAGAGCTGGCGGTTTTCGCCATTTGCCCCCGAGGGCTGGTGGGAGTTCTCGAAGTGTGCGTGGGTGTGCAAGCCCAGCTCTAAGGAACATGAGGTGGTCGTGAAGGCTGCCGAAGTCGTCGTGCAGCAGTCTGGCGTCTGGCATCAGATCGCCGAGAAGGCCCTGAATAACATGAGCTGGTTCGCACAGGACTGCCAGCGGAAGCGCGATGTCGAGCATTGCGCCGCCGAGCTCAGCGCCTTCGTCGAGTGCGCCAAGCCGCAGCTGGCCAACATGATGGCTGAGGTCATGATTGCCAGCGCCATCTTGATGTATCAGGATTCGGGGAACCTCTCTCGACTCGGACTCGCCAGTCCGTCGCGTGCGCCGAGAGTCGCCGGGGCGCGAAGCTGGTCAACCTCAAGAAGGCGCTGCAGCAGAAGGTGTTGGACATCAGCCAGTCCGACGCGCCTTCGACCTCGGGCGGGGCCGACGACGTTGGCGCCGGCGCTGGCGGCAGCGCGAGCAGCGCGAGCAGTGCGCCCGCCGTCGGCGGGCTGAAGATCAAGAAGCTTCAGAAGAAGCCGCTTTCTGTTTCCTCCGAGTAGGCTTGGATTTTTGAGCCAGTCAGGGCGAGCTTGCGCGGGCAAGCTCGGGTTTGTTTTCGATCGCTCTGCGAGCAGAGCGGTCAGAGAAGTGTGCGCGGCCAGCGCGCCAGGAGTTTCCCTTAGATGGGCGCATCGTGCCAGGCAGCCCGCCCAGCGACGACAGGGCTGCCGTGGCCGCTGGGGTTTGAGAAAGTCGAGTTGGAAGCCCAGTCCTTCTGTCACAGCGCCTCGCAGGGCTCCAAAGGGCTCCGTAGGGCTGGGGGGGCCCCCACGAGGGCGCCGCAAGGTTCGAGAGGCACCGTCGGGCTCCGTAATGGACCTCCTGAGGGTCAATCGGTCTCCGTAGGGCCCCGTAGAAATCTGTAGGGACCCCTAAGGCTTGCAGGGGTGCGTAAGGGCTCTGAGGGACTGTAGCGCTCCGTAGGCCTCCATAAGTGCTCGTAGGGTTCCGTAGGGCTCCGTATGGTTCGAAGTTCGCAGGCTCGCTTAAGTTCGAAAGGCCTGTGATGTCCACTCGGGTTTCGCAAGGCCCTGCGGAGTTGCCCGCGGCTCCGTCATTGGACCCGTAGGACTCGTAAGCTTCATGGGGGTCGTAAGGCTCGTGAGGCCCACGTGGGGATCCGTGCGGCTCGATGAGCTGGCGTGGTCGCATGGCTGGATGGCCCCCCCTTTTCTCCACCGCAGCCTTGGAGGCCGACAAGAGGAATGATAAAGAGGAGGATGAGGAGGAGGAGGAATACAAGGAAGGGGAGGCGGAAAGAGAGGAGGAAAAATGGGAAGGGGAGGGGGGCGAAAACGTGGGGGAGGAAAAGGACGAGGAGAACGAGGAATGTGATGGCAACGGCGCGCTATGCACTGGCTCACGTCGGGCACACCGCAGAACCCCAGACTATGAACTCCCACGCTCCTGCTGGTCTCGACTTGGCGCGAACGTGTGTTGTGTGCATGTGCTACGCACACTTGCATGCAGCAGCGATACGTATCAATATGAATACAACACAATACTAAACCTATCCGGCGATATCTGCACCATTTTCGATGGCCCATCTGCAGCTTTAAAATGTTTTATAGAAGTAGAGAATACAACGCCGAAGGCCCCTTCGCATCATTCCCTTGGCGGCGCCCACGCCGGCATGGTGGCCACCCCCAAGCCGCCGCTGAAATCCCGCCCGGCCCCTTCGCACCCCGCCGGAGCTCTGGGAATATCCCGGGGCATCGCGTCGCCTCCAACGCCGATGAAGAACCCCCCCGCCCCTCCCCGCGTCTCCGAGCTGGCGCGGGGCAAATCGCCGCGGCGATTCGGCCCCCGGCCGCTCTTCGCCGCGAAGCAAAGAACCACCGGTAATCCGATCGCGCGCGACCCCCCCGCCGTCGACGCAAAAACGGAGGGGGGGGCGCGCGTCTGAGCAAGCGAAAGTGCCCAGCAACTGCGGGGCAAAACCAGCTCGCGTACAACGCGAGCCGATTTTGACGCATCTTCACTCCCCCGCCAGTGATGCCTGGCAAAATCGCCCCTCAATGTACCCGACGGAGCTACCGCTGTGGTCCAAAATGCCACGACGCCTTCCGCGCCCCTCCAGAGAGCCCGCCGCTTCCTGCGGAACCTATTTCCGAGCGCCCGGGCGCGGCCCCGACGTTCCGGCACCCTCCGGCAGTTTCCCTAAAGTTCTTATGCTAAACCCCCATGCACCTTCGAAGCCCTGCTAGGCTTTCGACATTGCTCCTGACCTCTGAGCAATCCTTCCCAGCCCCCCCCGTTCCCCCGACCTCGCCGAGCGCCTTCCTGGGCCGCCTCCGCCTTCGAAAACCTCGTGAGTCCCTCCCGGGCCCCGCCCATTTCCTGAAGCTTTTTCAGGAACCGCCCAGGGCGCTTCCGGGCCCCCGAGCCCTGCGAAAAGTGCGGCGCGTCTCCTCTGCGCTGCCCACCCCCGACCTGTCCCGGGCGGGCGGTGGCGATTGGGGCGGGCACCGCGCTAGCTGCGCGTCCATGCGCGGCGCGGCAGCCGGCAGCCCTGCGGGGCGAGCCGCGGGTGGGCTTTTTCTTGGCGCTGAGCAATTGTTGGGCAGGGCAGGCGGGGGGCGCCGCCCCGAGCCCCCCGCGCAGGCGTTAGCGAAAGCGCTGCCGTGGGGCGGCGTGCGCAGGCGGGCCAAGCCCGCAGTATTTAGCCCCCAGCCATGACCTGCCGCTCGGCTAGCGCATTCCTTCTGTTTTTGAGGGCGCATGCGCACAGGGCCGACCCGGCGGCGCTCTGGGCCGACGCCGCGAGATTGGTTTCGGCGCGCCCTACCCGAAGCATAAACGTACTTAGAGGTGAGTTCTCAGTCAGACCTAAATCAGTCTTGGGTCTTAGGGCCAGACTTAAATCAGAGTTCCAGTCAGACCAAAATCAGACTTGGGTCTCAGGCCAGAGTTAAATCGGAGTTCCACTCATACCTAAATCAGAGTTGGCGCTGAGGGCCAGACTTGAATCCGAGTTCCAGCGCAGACATGAATCAAACCTTCGTCAGAGTTTTTGGGGCTGAACAGAGAAACAGAGTTCCCCTCCAAAGGACACACTCAAGGCTACGCGAAACAGGCTCGGACCATCGCCGAGCTCCAGCGCATGGGCCAGCAGGCGATCGCCTTCGGCCAGGCCGCGTGCGCCGCGCTGCCTCGCGCCATCCTGCACGGGGCGCCGCTGCCCGCGACGTGCCTGGCCTCGAGCGGGCTGGGCCCATCGAAAAAGGGCACGTCGACCACTTCCATTCGTCGGCACCTCCTCAGAGAACTTCACGACAGTTTGAGACGTCAGAAGGGCCCCCCTCGAACCGCCGCCGTGGATTTCTTCGCCGGGGCGGACCGCCTGTCGGCGGCGCCGCGGCGCCGACGCATTGCCGCGCTGCCGATGGATTTCGCTTGTAATGTTTACTCTCGACATTCCTACCGTCCGTCAGACCTTCCGAGGATGGGCGCGGGGCGGTGGGGCCTCAGCTGTCTGGGTTGCCGTGCCGCGCAGCTCCTGGAGCCAAGCCCGCCACGGGCCGCCGCGGTTTTCTTGGTGCACCATTCGCCCGAAGAGCCACATTTGGGGGCCGCCCGATTTGGGTGCCAGGCCGCAGGCGGCCGTCGACCTCGGGAACCAGCAGCTCAGGTTCGTCCTCGGCCCCATCGCTCTATGCCGCTCGTTTGGGATCCCAATATACCTCGAGAGCCCGGGGTGCTCGTGGGTCTGCTCTACATCGGCGCTGCAGGCCACACAGGGGCCCAGGGCGCCATGTCGTTCAACCTTGACATGTGCGCGTTCGGGGCCGCCTGGAGGAAACGCGCCCGCGTGGCCTGCTGGGCCCGCCATCGCCGTGAGGTTTCCGTGAAGGCCCGCTGCTGTTGTAGAAAAGGCCCTTGTTTTGTTTTGGGGAAGCCCCACATAGTCCTCCTTGGCCTCAACCCTGTTGTTGGAATCCATTGGAGTTGCCCCGCCGAGCTGTGCCCAGTTAAGTGTTGCAGCCGCTTCGCTGATTTAGTTGCAATGCGAACGGGGTTTTCAGTGCTTCAAACGCATGGAGACCTTGGCCTGTCCAAACTCTGTTAGGTACTGCTGCTGATGTTTTGTTGTTTACGTGCATGTCTTGTCGGCGCCGATCTTGGTCGCCACTTCTCCTCTCGGGCTCGGGTTTCCTTCTCGGTGTTGCGTGGTTGCGTTGGGTCCTCCTCTTCCTCCCTTCTCCGTGCGTCTCGCTCGCTCGCCGCTGCGCCTTTCGGTGGAATCGCCCGGGGCGCCCGCCGCGCAGAAATGTTTGGGTGGTCTGGGGTGTAGCAGGAGATGGCCGTGTCTTGCACTTCCCATGTCAGGTGTAACCGAGGGCCGTCGTGGTCGCGCCGATGCGCCGCAACCGCGTCGGGTCAAGCCTATTTTCTGGCCCGCCCTCCTCTCCTTCTTCTCTTTCCTCCTCGGCGTTGTGTGGGTGCGTTGGGCCGTCCTCATCCTTCTCTCTCCGAGCGCCTCGCTCGCTCGCCGCTGCGCCCTTCGGTGGAATTGCCCGGCGCGCCCGCCACACAAAAATGTTGGGGTGGCCCGGGGTGTAGCACGAGATGGTGATGATGCTGATGATGGTGGTGGTGGTGATGATGATGACGATGGCGATGATGGTGCTGTTGCCGATGATGATGATGAAGATGGCGATGGTGATGCTGGTGATGATGATGGTGGTGGTGGTGGTGATGTGCATGGCGATGTGCATGACGTTGGTGATGATGATGATAGTGCGGATGCTGCTGGGAATTATTGCGATTGTGTTAATGATGGTGTTGATGATGATGCGGATGATGGTGGTGATGTTGATGGTGAGCTACTGCTACGGCTGCTGCTGGTGCGACTGCTTCTGTTGCTGACGATGATGATGTTGATGATGGAAATGATGGTGGTAATAATGATGCTGGTGATCATCGTGATCATGATGATCATGATGCTGGTGCTGGTGGTGTTGGTGGTGTTTTTTTTGGTGGTGGTGGTGATGATGGAATTGGGGATTATTTCGGTGATGGTGATGGTGATTGGGGTGATGGTGATGCTGTTGATTAATAATATGGCTGTGACGATGGTGATGGTGATGATGTTGGTGGTGATGATGATGATGATGATGGTGACGTTGGTGCTGTTGAGGGTGATGCTGACGATGGTAATGGTGGTGCTAATGGTGGTGGTGGTGATGGTGAGGTTGATTGCCATGATGATGTTTATGGTGATGTTGCTGATGCTGCTGATGCTGCTGATGACGATGGTGATGCTTATGGCCATGATGATGATGATGATGGTACGGTTGGTGGTCATGATGTTGCGTATGCAGTTGGTGTTGATGGAGGTGATGTTGGTGGCGGTGATGGTGAGGCTGATGATTACGTTTACGATTATGATAATGTTATAGTGGTGAAGAGGCTGATGCTGCTGGCGCCGATGGTACTGATTCTGATGAGTGTGCTGGCGCTGGTGCTGGTGATAGTGATGACAACGCTGGTGTTGGTGGTGATGAAAATGAATATGAACATGTTGATGATCATGATGATGCTGATGATGGTTGTGCTGATCATGGTGGTGAAGCCGATGACGATGATGATGATGATGATGATGATGATGAAGCCGATGATGATAAAGCCGATGATGATGCTAATGCTGCTGGTGATGATGATGATGATGAATATGATGCAGATGATGCTGCTGATGATGCTGGTGATTGTGATGCTGAGGTACTGCTGCGGCTGCTGCTGGTGCGGCTGCTGATGATGATGATGGATGGTGGTAGTCATGATGCTGATGATGATGCTGATCATGATCATGATGATCATAAAGATGGTGCTGGTGGTGTTGGTGGTGTTTTTTGGTGGTGGCGGCGATGATGGACTTGGTGATCATTTCGGTGATGACGATGGAGATGGTGATGGTGTTGATTATTAATATGGCGGTGACGATGGTGATGGTGATGATGTTGATGGCGGTGATGATGGTACTGGTGACGTTGGGGTTTTTGAGGGTGATTCTGACGATGGTAATGGTGATGCTAATGGTGGTGGTGGAAATGGTGAGGTTGATGGTCATGATGATGTTTAAGGTGATGCTGCTGATACTGCTGGTGTTGATGATGACGATGCTGATGTTGATGGCCATGATGATGATGATGATGATGATGATGATGATGATGATAATGATGCTGATGATGATTATGATGATGATGGTACGGTTGGTGGTCATGATGTTGCGTATGCTGTTGTTGGTGTTTTGTTGGGATGATGTTGGTGGTGAGGGTGAGGCTGATGATTGCGTTGACGATTCTGATAATATTACAGGTGATGCTGAGGCTGATACTGATGACGCCGATGGTACTGATTATGATGAGTGTGCTGGTGCTGGTGCTGGTGGTAGTGATGACAATGCTGGTGTTGGTGGTGATTAAGGTAACGCTGAAGATGTTGATGATCATGATGATGCTGATGTTGGTTGTGATGATCATGATAATGAAGCCGATGATGGTAATGGAGCCGATGATGATAATGATGACGATGATGACGATGATGATGATGATGATGATGATGATGATGATGATGATGATGAGGATGAGGATGAGGATGATGATGATGATGATGATGATGATGATGATACTAATAATGACGATTATGTTGCTGATGATGCTGATGATGATGACGATGATGAGCAATACCATGGTGATGATGGCGATGACGATGATGACGCTACTGCTGGTGATGAGTATGACGATTGGGAAGGCCTTACGGCCGGTGCCTCCGACCCTGCAGGGGGACGACGACGACGACAACGACGACGACGACGCTGACGTGGGTCAGAGTCCTCAGGGATTCTGTTTGGGTCTCTTCGGAGCGCTCTCGGAGGCCTCTGGGGCTCTGGGGGGCAGTTTGGGAGGCCCCGTGGGAGCATCTTGGAAGCCTCTTTGGGGCCTCTTGGGAGCCTCCTGGGGCTTTCTGGGGGCCTCTTGGGGGCCTCTTGGAGCCTCTTGGGGGCATTTTGTGTGCCTCTTGGGGTCTCCTTGGAGCCTCTCGGGGCGGAGGACTCGAAATGTCCGTTTGGTTCCCCTGTGTGGGCACCCTCTTGGAGCCCTCTTGGAGGCCTCTTGGGCCGTCTTGCAGGCGTCTTGGGCCGTCTTCGGGCCCTCTTTGGCCCGTTTCGGGACCCTCTGGGTGGCCTCTTGGGTCGATCTTTGGAGCCTCTTGGGCCGTCTTGGAGTGTCGGGAAGCCGAAAAGACGAGTACGCCCAAGTCCTTGAGACACTTGACGAAAATCAAGGAATTCTGCCTTTTTGGGATCTCTTGGGAGTGTTCTTCAAGGCCCCTGGGGGAGTCTTCAGCCCTCTTGGGCCGTCTGGAGGCCGGGACCGATCGTTCGGCGATTCAGGGTCATTTTGGACCGTCTTGGGGGCCTCCTGGGGCAGTCTTGGCTCGTCTTGGAACGTTTTTGGGCCCCGGGCCCCCCCAGGGGGGGTGGTATCCTGACCCGGGACCTCCCCGAGATCCCCCCCACGGACCCCCCTCCCCCCCGGCGGGGAAGGGATCAAAGGGATGAGGCTCCCCTTCGACTCAACTACGACGTTGCTGAATTTCGCTGTGGCTGAGTTGCTTGAGGAGAAAGACGCGATGAAAGAGGAGGGAGAGGCGACGGGCGCAGGGAAAGGGGAGGGGCGGCGGCGACGATACGACGACGACGACGACGACGAACGGCGGCGACGAGGACGACGACGAGGACGACGACCACGACGACAACGACGACGACGACGAGTCACACGGAACAGCGCACTCCACACGCCGACAGGGTCGACAGATAATGACGATGATGGAATTGGTGATCATGATCATGCCGCTGGTGATGATGGTGATGGTGAGGAGGAGGGGACTACTTGGGAACTCTTTGGATCTTCACTAGTCGCGCGCCAGAGCAGATCTGGCCACCATTGTGCTGCAGCATGGCGCCTCGCGGTCGCACGTGATCTTCGTAGGGACCTCCTTTACGGGCCTCGTGCCCAGCCCGATCTGCTGTCCCCGCCTGCTCCGACTTTACGGGCCTCTCGCCCAACCGAAAGGTTGTTAAGTTTAGGCCACGGGCAGCGCTACTCTGCCAGCCGACTCCATCAGACCACCGAACGCTTGCCGACTGACTTCCACGAGGCGCCTGAAGCCAACGCCTGTCGCCTGGGGTACCTGACACGCGCGCCGA